ACACACACAGTAAAACTCAGGCATAAAGGCATGCATCTTTAATCCTAGTCCTGAAGAGGTGGGCACAGTCAGATTCCTGGGATTCCCTGGAGTGCCAGCATAGTCTGCTTGGCCAGTTGGAGACCATGAAAGACCCCGATACGAAGAAAATGTGGGGAGCACCTGAGGAACAACACCTAAGGCTGTACTCCAATCTCCACCGGCACACATGTACATATGCATCTGCACACAGGCATCACATGCCCCTCCGATGGCATCACACACACACACACACACACACACACACACACACACACACACACACACAGAGGAAAGCAGTGCTTTAAACTGCCTGTCCATGGACTGTGGAAGCCCCGATATCCTCTGACGCCAGCTAATGCAGTGTCGTCTCCTGAGGTCTCCTGTCAGAAGCCACCACAGACATTCCCACAAAGACACCCCACCCCACCACTGACCAAACAAACCAAATATGCCCTCCTAGATTTCCCTGCAGCTCCGTAATGAAGGGACGGGGTGGTGTGTTTCCCCGTGCGCCACTGGCTTTTTGTACACTTTCTGCATCCATGCTGCCCAGCTGCCGCACTGACCTTCCAGGACACTGGAACTTCCCGCTTCCAAAAGCCACGAAGCCGTCCAAGAAAGCATTCTTATCTAAATTTGCCTCTTTCCAGCGTTCCTGTGGGAAGAAAACACTTTTTTTTCCTAAGTCAGTCTTATATAAATAAGCTTAACTCTGCTTTTCTGGGCTAAAAATGATGCTGTACAGCTAATCCTTGCATACAAAGTTGCAGCGTTGTGGGTCATTTTTCCCCCAACCTGTTATTAATATCAGACACAATTGTGGTTTTGGAACATGAACTTATAAACAAAAAAGGCTTAACAAGAATCCTATTAAGTGGCGAATGTAAATGACAACGTAAATCACCTAAAGAATTGACCTAAGAAGAGGAAGGCTATTTATAACGTGGCCTCGGGCTTTATCATAAAATTGCTCATAATAATAATTCAACAGCAAGACGCGAGCAGAACTGCTTGCTGGAGGAAGCCTGTGGAATAAATACATCTGGGTGCCAGCTCTCCCAGACTTCCCTAAAGGCAAGGCATGAACTAGCTGAACTCTTAGAATGGCTCGGTCCGTGAGTCCCCAAGCACATGAAGTAACAGATCACTATTTTAATTTGCTGTGTTTTTATTTTGTGGGCTCCTTGGAAACCAGTAACAGAAGCAGTTGCCCAAGGAGTACAAAATAAGGCTTCCTTCCAGCAGAACCAGGGCTACTGGCTTTTATGTTCCTTCCCAGCATTGTATAAAAGTTCCTCTTTGAGGATGCTCATTCCAACTCCTCTATTCGATCTGCAAATGTAACATCTATATTGCAAATGCTATTGGTCCATCATAGCCAATGTTGGGCACAGTTACCAGAAAATATGGCTGCTTACTAATACAGGTTCAGTTAATTTATTCATTCATATTCTTGGCAAGAAACACAGACATTATAAAAAATAATACATATTGAAAGAGAGCACTTACAGGTTTGAATGAGTCAGGTTCAGGAAAATATTTTGGATTTCTGTGTAGCCAGAATGGAGACAACATCAACAGATCACCAGAAGGAACTGTATGACTCTAAGATAGAAAAATCAGCTTCAAATCACTTATTCTGAAATAAGTTTTAAGGAGAGTGTGGGTCATTAAAAACCAAGCTACAACTATATCGTGAAAAAGAGACATTTTATAATAAGTGAGAAAAACCTAACGTTCCTGGTTAGATAAATATTCTCTCTCTCTCTCTCTCTCTCTCTCTCTCTCTCTCTCTCTCTCTCTCTCTCTCTCTCTC